CTGTAAAGTCTTTAGTTGCTGTAAAGTCTTTTGTTGCTGTTAGTCTTTAGTTGCTTTAAAGTCTTTAGTTGCTCTAAAGTCTTTAGTTGCTGTAAAGTCTTTAGTTGCTGTAAAGTCTTTTGTTGCTGTTAGTCTTTAGTTGCTGTAAAGTCTTTAGTTGCTCTAAAGTCTTTAGTTGCTCTAAAGTCTTTAGTTGCTGTAAAGTCTTTAGTTGATGTAAAGTTTTTAGTTGCTGTAAAGTCTTTAGTTGATGTAAAGTTTTTAGTTGCTGTTAGTCTTTAGTTGCTGTAAAGTCTTTAGTTGCTCTAAAGTCTTTAGTTGCTCTAAAGTCTTTAGTTGCTGTAAAGTCTTTAGTTGATGTAAAGTTTTTAGTTGCTCTAAAGTCTTTAGTTGCTGTAAAGTCTTTAGTTGCTGTAAAGTTTTTAGTTGCTGTAAAGTCTTTTGTTGCTGTTAGTCTTTAGTTGCTGTAAAGTCTTTAGTTGCTGTAAAGTCTTTAGTTGCTGTAGTCTTTTGTTGCTGTTAGTCTTTAGTTGCTTTAAAGTCTTTAGTTGCTCTAAAGTCTTTAGTTGCTGTAAAGTCTTTAGTTGCTGTAAAGTCTTTTGTTGCTGTTAGTCTTTAGTTGCTGTAAAGTCTTTAGTTGCTCTAAAGTCTTTAGTTGCTCTAAAGTCTTTAGTTGCTGTAAAGTCTTTAGTTGATGTAAAGTTTTTAGTTGATGTAAAGTTTTTAGTTGCTGTTAGTCTTTAGTTGCTGTAAAGTCTTTAGTTGCTCTAAAGTCTTTAGTTGCTCTAAAGTCTTTAGTTGCTGTAAAGTCTTTAGTTGATGTAAAGTTTTTAGTTGCTCTAAAGTCTTTAGTTGCTGTAAAGTCTTTAGTTGCTGTTAGTCTTTAGTTGCTGTAAAGTCTTTAGTTGCTGTAAAGTCTTTAGTTGCTGTTAGTCTTTAGTTGCTGTAAAGTCTTTAGTTGCTGTTAGTCTTTAGTTGCTGTAAAGTCTTTTGTTGCTGTAAAGTCTTTTGTTGCTGTAGTTTTTAGTTGCTGTTAGTCTTTAGTTGCTGTAAAGTCTTTAGTTGCTGTAAAGTCTTTAGTTGCTGTTAGTCTTTAGTTGCTGTAAAGTCTTTAGTTGCTGTAAAGTCTTTAGTTGCTGTAAAGTCTTTAGTTGCTGTTAGTCTTTTGTTGCTGTAAAGTCTTTAGTTGCTGTAGTTTTTAGTTGCTGTTAGTCTTTAGTTGCTGTAAAGTCTTTAGTTGCTGTAAAGTCTTTAGTTGCTGTTAGTCTTTAGTTGCTGTAAAGTCTTTAGTTGCTGTAAAGTCTTTAGTTGCTGTTAGTCTTTAGTTGCTGTAAAGTCTTTAGTTGCTGTAAAGTCTTTAGTTGCTGTTAGTCTTTAGTTGCTGTAAAGTCTTTAGTTGCTGTTAGTCTTTAGTTGCTGTAAAGTCTTTTGTTGCTGTAAAGTCTTTTGTTGCTGTAGTTTTTAGTTGCTGTTAGTCTTTAGTTGCTGTAAAGTCTTTAGTTGCTGTAAAGTCTTTAGTTGCTGTTAGTCTTTAGTTGCTGTAAAGTCTTTAGTTGCTGTAAAGTCTTTAGTTGCTGTAAAGTCTTTAGTTGCTGTTAGTCTTTTGTTGCTGTAAAGTCTTTAGTTGCTGTAGTTTTTAGTTGCTGTTAGTCTTTAGTTGCTGTAAAGTCTTTAGTTGCTGTAAAGTCTTTAGTTGCTGTTAGTCTTTAGTTGCTGTAAAGTCTTTAGTTGCTTTAAAGTCTTTAGTTGCTGTTAGTCTTTAGTTGCTGTAAAGTCTTTTGTTGCTGTAAAGTCTTTTGTTGCTGTAGTTTTTAGTTGCTGTTAGTCTTTAGTTGCTGTAAAGTCTTTAGTTGCTGTAAAGTCTTTAGTTGCTGTTAGTCTTTAGTTGCTGTAAAGTCTTTAGTTGCTGTAGTCTTTAGTTGCTGTTAGTCTTTAGTTGCTGTAAAGTCTTTTGTTGCTGTAAAGTCTTTAGTTGCTGTAAAGTGTTTAGTTGCTGTAAAGTCTTTAGTTGCTGTTAGTCTTTAGTTGCTGTAAAGTCTTTAGTTGCTGTAAAGTCTTTAGTTGCTGTAAAGTCTTTAGTTGCTGTTAGTCTTTTGTTGCTGTAAAGTCTTTAGTTGCTGTAAAGTCTTTTGTTGCTGTAGTTTTTAGTTGCTGTTAGTCTTTAGTTGCTGTAAAGTCTTTAGTTGCTGTAAAGTCTTTAGTTGCTGTTAGTCTTTAGTTGCTGTAAAGTCTTTAGTTGCTGTAAAGTCTTTAGTTGCTGTAAAGTCTTTAGTTGCTGTAAAGTCTTTAGTTGCTGTTAGTCTTTTGTTGCTGTAAAGTCTTTTGTTGCTGTTAGTCTTTAGTTGCTGTAAAGTCTTTAGTTGCTGTAAAGTCTTTAGTTGCTGTTAGTCTTTAGTTGCTGTAAAGTCTTTAGTTGCTGTTAGTCTTTAGTTGCTGTAAAGTCTTTTGTTGCTGTAAAGTCTTTTGTTGCTGTAGTTTTTAGTTGCTGTTAGTCTTTAGTTGCTGTAAAGTCTTTAGTTGCTGTTAGTCTTTAGTTGCTGTAAAGTCTTTAGTTGCTGTTAGTCTTTTGTTGCTGTAAAGTCTTTAGTTGCTGTAAAGTCTTTAGTTGATGTAAAGTTTTTAGTTGCTGTTAGTCTTTAGTTGCTGTAAAGTCTTTAGTTGCTCTAAAGTCTTTAGTTGCTGTAAAGTCTTTAGTTGCTGTTAGTCTTTAGTTGCTGTAAAGTCTTTTGTTGCTGTAAAGTCTTTTGTTGCTGTAGTTTTTAGTTGCTGTTAGTCTTTAGTTGCTGTAAAGTCTTTAGTTGCTGTAAAGTCTTTAGTTGCTGTCAGTCTTTAGTTGCTGTAAAGTCTTTAGTTGCTGTAAAGTCTTTAGTTGCTGTAAAGTCTTTAGTTGCTGTTAGTCTTTTGTTGCTGTAAAGTCTTTTGTTGCTGTAGTTTTTAGTTGCTGTTAGTCTTTAGTTGCTGTAAAGTCTTTAGTTGCTGTAAAGTCTTTAGTTGCTGTTAGTCTTTAGTTGCAGTAAAGTCTTTAGTTGCTGTTAGTCTTTAGTTGCTGTAAAGTCTTTAGTTGCTGTAAAGTCTTTAGTTGCTGTTAGTCTTTAGTTGCTGTAAAGTCTTTTGTTGCTGTAAAGTCTTTTGTTGCTGTAGTTTTTAGTTGCTGTTAGTCTTTAGTTGCTGTAAAGTCTTTAGTTGCTGTAAAGTCTTTAGTTGCTGTTAGTCTTTAGTTGCTGTAAAGTCTTTAGTTCCTGTAGTCTTTAGTTGCTGTTAGTCTTTAGTTGCTGTAAAGTCTTTTGTTGCTGTAAAGTCTTTAGTTGCTGTAAAGTGTTTAGTTGCTGTAAAGTCTTTAGTTGCTGTAGTCTTTAGTTGCTGTAAAGTCTTTAGTTGCTGTAAAGTCTTTAGTTGCTGTTAGTCTTTAGTTGCTGTAAAGTCTTTAGTTGCTCTAAAGTCTTTAGTTGCTCTAAAGTCTTTAGTTGCTGTAAAGTCTTTAGTTGATGTAAAGTTTTTAGTTGCTGTAAAGTCTTTAGTTGCTTGAGAGTCTTTAGTTGCTGAAAAGTCTTTAGTTGCTGTAAAGTTTTTAGTTGCTGTAAAGTCTTTTGTTGCTGTTAGTCTTTAGTTGCTGTAAAGTCTTTAGTTGCTGTAAAGTCTTTAGTTGCTGTAAAGTCTTTTGTTGCTGTTAGTCTTTAGTTGCTTTAAAGTCTTTAGTTGCTCTAAAGTCTTTAGTTGCTGTAAAGTCTTTAGTTGCTGTAAAGTCTTTTGTTGCTGTTAGTCTTTAGTTGCTGTAAAGTCTTTAGTTGCTCTAAAGTCTTTAGTTGCTCTAAAGTCTTTAGTTGCTGTAAAGTCTTTAGTTGATGTAAAGTTTTTAGTTGCTGTAAAGTCTTTAGTTGATGTAAAGTTTTTAGTTGCTGTTAGTCTTTAGTTGCTGTAAAGTCTTTAGTTGCTCTAAAGTCTTTAGTTGCTCTAAAGTCTTTAGTTGCTGTAAAGTCTTTAGTTGATGTAAAGTTTTTAGTTGCTCTAAAGTCTTTAGTTGCTGTAAAGTCTTTAGTTGCTGTAAAGTTTTTAGTTGCTGTAAAGTCTTTTGTTGCTGTTAGTCTTTAGTTGCTGTAAAGTCTTTAGTTGCTGTAAAGTCTTTTGTTGCTGTTAGTCTTTAGTTGCTTTAAAGTCTTTAGTTGCTCTAAAGTCTTTAGTTGCTGTAAAGTCTTTAGTTGCTGTAAAGTCTTTTGTTGCTGTAAAGTCTTTAGTTGCTGTAAAGTCTTTAGTTGCTGTAAAGTCTTTAGTTGCTGTTAGTCTTTAGTTGCTGTTAGTCTTTAGTTGCTGTAAAGTCTTTTGTTGCTGTAAAGTCTTTTGTTGCTGTAGTTTTTAGTTGCTGTTAGTCTTTAGTTGCTGTAAAGTCTTTAGTTGCTGTAAAGTCTTTAGTTGCTGTAAAGTCTTTAGTTGCTGTAAAGTCTTTTGTTGCTGTAAAGTCTTTAGTTGCTGTAAAGTGTTTAGTTGCTGTAAAGTCTTTAGTTGCTGTAGTCTTTAGTTGCTGTAAAGTCTTTTGTTGCTGTAAAGTCTTTAGTTGCTGTAAAGTGTTTAGTTGCTGTAAAGTCTTTAGTTGCTGTAGTCTTTAGTTGCTGTAAAGTCTTTTGTTGCTGTAAAGTCTTTAGTTGCTGTAAAGTGTTTAGTTGCTGTAAAGTCTTTAGTTGCTGTAAAGTCTTTTGTTGCTGTAAAGTCTTTAGTTGCTGTAGTTTTTAGTTGCTGTTAGTCTTTAGTTGCTGTAAAGTCTTTAGTTGCTGTAAAGTCTTTAGTTGCTGTAAAGTGTTTAGTTGCTGTAAAGTCTTTAGTTGCTGTAGTCTTTAGTTGCTGTTAGTCTTTTGTTGCTGTAAAGTCTTTAGTTGCTGTAGTTTTTAGTTGCTGTTAGTCTTTAGTTGCTGTAAAGTGTTTAGTTGCTGTAAAGTCTTTAGTTGCTGTAAAGTTGTTTTTTGTTTGTGTCCCGCAGTCCGGACGCAGCGGCTCGGTGACGTCATGAGCCACAGCCGATGGAGTCTCTGAACGCCGTGGAGCTGCGGGAGCTGCAACGCTGCGGCCCGTCCAGCGGGGGGCGCTGCGCCGCCGGAGGCTTCGAGAACGTCTCCTACCAGCAGGACGAGGAGCTGGACGAACCGGGACCGGATGCGACCCGCGCTGTCCGTCCGGAACCAGCACGGTGATAGGATTTGTTTCACCTAATGAATCGATTATTGCAATAAAATTCCAGCGGTGAATCATCGTGAACAGAAGAAAGTGAGAGAAAAACACTGAGCAGGAAAAATGTCCAGAAATCTGATGCGTTCAATATCAGACCACTACTTCCGGTCTGGAGTCTGTTTCAAATCCACCAGACAGACTGAACTATTTATTTACTGCACTATTTATCGTTACTGTTTTCCTTGTTATTGAATTCCTCGGCTTCCTGGGGAGTTCCCGCCGTTTTGGGCTTGGAAATAAACAGACATACTTTGACATCCAGGTTGTTGCTCAGCGTCTCACTGATTCTGCTCTGATTTCACCTTTTATTGTTTTATTTAGTTTTATTATTTTTGGTTTCAGTTTGTTGGGTTTTGCTTCACTGCAAAAACCACACTAGTTCTGTTTAGTTCATTCATTTCAAACACCACAAAACTTAAGTTATTAACAACTTTTTATTATGATAAAGGAGAACTAGAACTTTATTAAATCAATGTTAAAGAATTATTGATTAAAAATAAACTCCTGTGTTTCCTGAAAAGTTACTTTTATGTTAGTTTTCTTGATAAGATATTTGCACCAGAAGCAGCAGATTTAGTGTTTTGCAGTGCAGATCAACATTTCTCATATTTTTCTGCATATTTTTTCTCCATCTTTGATCCTTATTAAAATATTATTTATGTATTTTTAACACGATTCTTCTCCTGCACCTGCAGGTTTCTCCAGAGTCGTGTGACGATGAGGATGGCGGGGCTGCCGGAGGAGGAGGTGATGGTGGTGCGGGCCTGGCGGCGCCGGACCCGGCCGACGGCCGCTCTGCGGACCTGGGCTTCGTTGTGGCGCTGGTTCTGCTGGTGAGCGGCATCGTGCTGGTGGTGGTGGCCTACACCGTCCCCCGGGACGCCGGCGTTGATCCGGACTCGGTGTCGGCGCGGCAGATGGAGAAGCTGGAGCTGCACTACGCCCGGCTGGGCTCGCACCTGGACAGGTGCATCATCGCAGGCCTGGGCCTGCTGACGCTGGGCGGGATGTTTCCTGTCCGTCCTGCTCATGGTCTCCATCTGCCGGGGCGAGATGTACCGCCGCGCCGCCTTCGTCCGGCCCAAAAGGACCTACGGCTCCATCAGCCTGAGGATGAAGCAGCTGGCGACCGGAGAGGCGGACGGAGACGGGGTGGAGCGGGTTCTGGTGGAAAACACACAGCCGGGGTCCAGCCGGGACCAGAACTCAGAACCGAGCAGGACGCCGGCTGCGGCTTCAGCTGCATGTGGAGTTTAGTCGGAATTGATCCGGTTGGATCCGGTTTGGTTCAGTTGGATCCCAGCTGTCAGAAGCCAACCAATCAGACGGCTTTGTGACGTTGGCAGACAGGAAGTGGAGCGGTAAGGCCCGGTGGACCAGAACTCCTCTGGAGATTATGAAACATCAGAATTACTGCAAACTGAAATACTCAACCAGTATTTTCGTTTTTAGTGCAAATACTCCAATTTACTTGAAATAAGACAAAACTCTGGTAGTTTATATCTCCTGCAGCAGCTTGTTGTCAGAATATAATCTCTGAACATTTATTTGAAGTACATTTCGTCTCCTCTAGCTGATTCTTTACTTCTAAAACCTTTTAAACAATATTAAGGAATCATTGACTTAAATCAAACTTCTTGCTGAAGATTTACTTGTAAGTTGTTTTTGTCTTATTTCAAGTATTTTAGAGATATTTTCACTAAAAACTGAACTAAAATACTTGCAGTGTAATAATTCCTGCTATTTTAATCCTATTAAAACTATAAAAAGCACATTATTTAGAAACAGAAATTATGAATAATGTTTTAGTTTCAAACCACTTCAGTCACATTTTAATTATAGACAGAATATACATTTAATTATTTTCATCATTAATAAAATAGGGCAGAGAGATTTGTTGATTGTTCTCAGACAGAGGAAACATTATTTATTTTAGCTTCAGGCATAAAATAAAAACCAGGTAGAAAATAAAACCACAAACCCAACATGAACCCAGTGAACCATGAACTGTTCAGTTATGAACTATACCTGAATAAAAATATGAAAATTAGCTTCAGGTCTCTTGGAAATGTCAGATTTTTCACAGCCAGCTTGAAGCATAGCATCAGACTTTTATATCCATTTCTGTTTTTCACTGAGAAAGTTTCCTCCTGGAAGCTAACTGCTAAGCATTAGCTTCACAAAACAACCTGGCTAACCGCTGAGTGTTAGCTTCACAATACAACCTGGATGCTAACTGCTAAATGTTAGCTTCAAAATACAACCTGGGTGCTAACCGCTAAATGTTAGCTTCACAATACAACCTGCATGCTAACCGCTAAATGTTAGCTTCCTAATGTAACCTCATTGATGCAGCTGAGGCTATAAACAGAAGAAAATATAGAAAAGAAAAAACCCATCAACATAAACTGTTGATGTTTTAAAATGTTTGTACTTTTATTTCAAGATGCTCAAATTGAACCTTCATTCAAACTAAACCTGGATCTTCTGGACTTTTTTACTGATATCATATTTACATCATAACTTTAAAAGAATTTTCACTTTTCATGTGAACGTTGTTTATTAAACCAAAAAGAAATGGAAAAAAACAAACATTAAAAGAGTTCCAGATAGAATCTGAGCTTTAATTGCAGTTTGATTATTATGAAAATATGTGTTACAAGTTCCCCCTGCGGTTGAGAGGCAGTAAACATTCACCAAGATGATAAGTAATCATATTTATTGGTTAAGATTCTCCACTAACTAGATCTTGTGTTGTCTCCCACAGTGGGAAGCAGATCAAACAGTCAGAGAAGCGCCTTAAAACAAACAAACAAACAAACAAACAAACAAACAAACAAACAAACAATGAAAAGTTGTTGGCCCCGCCCTCACAGCTGCTACAGAAAAAACCATCATAACTGGGCGGACTAACAAAAGGAAACCAAACCCTAAAAGACAGCAGGGGGCAGTGCGACCACTATAAAACCACAAAATGACTAAATCGTTATTAAATCATTTTAATCTAAAACACATTAAATACACTGCCTTCCTGCATGACACAAATCACCAGAAGCTCCAATCTGGCGCCGTCAATCCGGTGGATCCACCAAATAAGAACAAAACATAAAAACATGCAATTCATCTTTAATAAAACACAAATATAAAACATTCCCACAGCGTCCAGCACCACGCCCGTTATCCCCCCGACCACCAGCAACCACACCTGAATCAACCAGGAAGTCAACACCTGGCCACCATCCTCCAGCTTCCTCTTCATGGAGCCTCAGGCTGCGGGGAGAGCGCCCCTACTGGTGCCGCCTGTTACATATGAAAGTATTAAGAAAAACGGAAAAAAGTGCCAGAGAGTCATTTGGACAGAAGCTGCTTTAACCTTTAATAATGTTTGTTTTTCTTCTGTATTAAATATGAACTGATGGTATTAATGTCAAACGCTGCAATAACACTGCTGACTCAGCAAATATTATGATGATGTTACCCAGACACACACACACACAGAGACACACACACACACACACACACACACACACACAGACACACAGACACACACACACACATACACACACACACACACACACAGACACACACACACACACACACACACACACACACACACACACACACACACAGACACACAGAGACACAGACACACACACACACAGAGACACACACACACACACACATACACACACACACACAGAGACAGATTTCAACAGTTTAGTCCTGACCTGCTGCTCATCAGGGTTTCTTCTGCGTATAGAAAGCAAAACACGGCCGTCACGTTTCTACAATAATAAAGATGTTTTTAATCATCAGCTTATCAAACTAATGTCATATTCTGAGAATCTCAATGTTGAATATTTATTAAGTCAAAATTATTAAAACATTGTTACAAATGGAGATGTTTCAGTTTTTTCATCACTGAAATAAAATCACATTTCTCTGTTTTAACTTATTCAGATTCTGACCAAATTCAAGCAGCTGCCTTCAAAATAAAAGCATAGAAACAAAACTATGAGGCTTTGAATTAACAATTTTTAACACCCAACGACCATAAATGTATTTATTAATATATAAACATGCATCAGACTTTAAACATGCATATTTAAAAGTCTGAGTTGTACAAAAAGAATTAAAATAATGTCAACATAAAACCTATTAACATATTACAGTGGATAAAACATTTAGCACAACTCATTTATACGAAATATATTTGATTGTATTTATGAACTACCATACACAAAATACTTTATGTGATAAAACATATTGCAGAAACTTCTGCTTTTTAACTTTTAATTAAAGGAGGAAACAAAAACATTTTATTAAATTAGAACTGAGTTATAAATTAGGTAGAAACAGTTTATTGATTTATCATCTAAATTAGCCACAAAATAATCATAAGAAAGTTGTTTTTAATGAGCGCATTAGGCACTTTGCAAAGCTTTTTATCAATGCATGATTTGATTTTTTTCCCTTTTCTGATGCCACGTTTCCAAACCTCTGGAGGATTGTAGTTTTATTCTGCGGTCACAAACAGACGTCTGATTTGTTTGCTGTATGAAAAGCACAGAAAGTTTGGCCTGAATTTAAAGTGTTACCAGATTCACTCTGCTGTGAGGATGCATGTTACTGAGTGAAGAAGCTTCCTGTCTGTAACATGATGCCGATTTCTACGTCTGATTCTGTTCAGGAGAAAATAAAGTTTCTGTTTTTCATTATCCAGACGGTTCCTCTCTGAACTTCATTTCATGTTCAGTGTCGATCAAACTGGGAAAACGGCTCAGAAGAAGAAAAACTCGATCCACAACAGAAGAAACTTTGGTTTTAATCAGAACCAAGAAATAAGGAAACAAAGCAAAGCACTGCATCAGAACCTCGGGTCTCCAAAAGTGGGTCGGATTTACCCCTTTGCCCAAGGGCCGCCGCCCCGCCCCTCGGTCCAGGAATGTGGGGATCCATGATGCTGCGGGCTGCCGAGGGAACCGGCCAGTTTTATTTTCTCCACTCAATTAAAATGTTTCCCATGAAAATGTGGCAGTTTGATACAAAGCAGAACTAAAACAGGAACAACTTTGCAGCTTTTATTAGAATGTTTGGCAGAAATGATCAATCAGCCACGTCTCAAAATCAGCAACTGAAAAAATATTTAGTAAAGAAATGGAAATTATTTCCAAACGTTTCTGTAAATCAAAATAATCCAAGGCTGGAAGGTGAGGAGTTTTCTCTCCGAGGCTCGATTCAATTCACTCGTTTCACAGCGAGAAGCTCAGAGGACAGAATTATAGATATGTATGTTTATCATAACGAGCAGAAAGGTCGAAGGTCAGCGTCAGATCAGGGTCGAAGGTCAGCGTCAGATCAGGGTCAAAGGTCAGCGTCAGATCAGGGTCAAAGGTCAGCGTCAGATCAGGGTCAAAGGTCAGCGTCAGATCAGGGTCGAAGGTCAGCGTCAGATCAGGGTCGAAGGTCAGGATCAATCTGAATAAAGAAAATGATTAGCATTTCTAAAGGAGTCTGAGTGAATATTTTATTTGTCGTTTTCAGAGAACCCCTCCTGTCATTGGACCATCCGTGGTGGTTCTGGACCGGAACCAGAACTGGACCGGACCCGGTTCTGCGGTGTGAGCAGGAGCAACAGAAGCAGGAACCGGCGCCGAGCGCTACATGAACATGTCGTCGTATCCGGGCGGCGGCATGTGGTCGGGGTCGGGCCTGAAACAGAAACGCGGTGAGAATGAATCATTCTTTCAGACGATGCGTTTCGGCTGCAGCATCGTTCACATGGGAGTGAGGTTTTCACTTCCTGTACTTTGTTTATTGTCTGAGGACAAATCGCTTCAGTTTGAGTTTAGTCACACAAACTTTGACACAAAGTTCATTTTCATACATGCCGGTTTGTGCATCAAATATGGCGCCGTACATATTTTGTGCGTTTGCCACTTTGGACACCAGTTTTTGATTAGACCGTAGACTGAGCCTCACCTGTTCTAGATCAGTTTATTGTGTTGATCAATACCATCTCAATCGGTGCTGATAGACTCGAGGCGGGTGTGTGTGTCTCACCCCGGTCTGTGGCGTCCCACGGGTCCAAACGGGTCGAAGCGGGCCCCCGGGGGGACGGCTCCAGGAGGCAGGATGTCTGGGATCCCGCTGGACGGGTCGAAGCCGGAGCGAGGGAACCCGGACCTCAGAGGGTCCACGATCATCCCGCCCCCACCCGCTGACCTGGAATATAGATATTGATCATCTTCCTTTATCCACTGAATCATCCGAGTGAAACCAGAGGTTTGATTTCAATACCACAAAAACCAATAAAAGAAATAAAAAAACATCTGTAATAATTTGTTCTAAATGTAGAAGAAACAAAAGTCTCAATCTGCTTCGTTCAGTCCAGGGCCTTCAAATGGCCCAGAGCCACAGCTTGACCCACAGCTTGACCCACAGCTTGACCCACAGCTTGACCCACCAGAAGGGCAACATGTTTGTGCAGATTCATGTTCTGTGTAAACCAGATTCCAGTTTAAACCAGATTACATGTGAACTCACCCAAACGGATCCAGATCTGCTCCTCCGGCTGCGAATGGAGGATTCAGCGGGTCGGGCCTGAAACAAACCAACAGAGATTTAGTTTTTTTATTGACGAAATGAAAATGATCAGACATTAATGATTGATCCAGAAAAGCTTTATGATCCCTTTAAATGTAACAGGAAGTGATCCGTTACCTTTTCATGCTATAAAGTCAATCTAAACGGGTTCTGGACTCAGACGTTCTGGATCGGCTCTGAAACGTTTTCTGACCAATTTAAAACCAAAACGTTTCAAAATGAGAACAATAAAATATTTGTAACGTTTTTGGCTGATTGCTCTGAGGTCCAGATGATCCCATCTTCTCTTCTTCGCTGCGTTTTCGTCTCCAGGTGGTTTTTATGTCTCAAATTGTCTCCGTTCTGTTTACTGTCTGTCATCTTCATCACCTTCATCATCCTCTCTGTCCCCTGGGAGCCACTGAGGCGATGAAGGGCCGCCGCCTCATCTGATCGGGTTCAAAGGTCGCAGGACTGAACATATTCGACCTCTAGTTCTTCTCCTTCATCTTTAGATAACATAATCAATCATCTTCTATACGAATCAAACAAACTGATTGGACCACAGAACTGGGAACGAACCCAGATTAAGGTGACTTTCAGAAATCATCATCATCATTATTCTGGGTTCAGCTGCTTGTTTCTATCTGGCTGCTGATTGTCCAACCGCCAGAGTTTCTGCTCGTTTCAGAAAGTCAAATTCCACTAACTGTACTAACTGTAGAGCCATATCACAACTAAACGAGCCAAGAACTAATGTTGTGTTTCTGTTTGTGGCTCCTGGCAGCAGATCTGAGTTTCTCACTGCACATGAAACGTCACCAGCCAACCGCCCACAAATTTACACAAGGAAAGCACTGAAAACTTAGCTAGCTAAGGTCTGTTAGCAGCTAGTTAGCGGTAGCCTCAACCACCTCCAGTCACAGAACGAATGAAGACTCAACTTTCTCACAGAAAAATCTCAAAACAACAAAAAAAAAAAACATGAAATATTTCTGACAAAATGTTAAATCTGTGATTAACGAACTTCAGGCCAACTGTCTGCAAACGACATGAAGAAGTTTTTGAGGCCTTGACTTCAGACCCGAGTTCTACCGATCACCGTCGATAAAAACCGGGTTCTGGTTCTGCTGCAGGTTTCTTCCTGTTAAAGGACAGTTTTCCTCTCCTCTGTCATCACATGCATGCTCAGAACAAAGGATTGTGTAAAGTCAATAACTCAACACAAGAGATGTTCCTGCTGTCGCCCCCTGCTGGTCAGGAGGACAGGATCGATGCTCTGTTCGGTTTCCTTAGGAACTACTGAAACTAATTAGAATGAATTGAGTTTAATGATTTGATTAATAACTTTCATAAATTGTACAATAGATTTAAATTCTTTCTATCTGTAAAGTTCGTTTAGTTGATATCTGTTTGAATTTGTTGCTTTAGAAATAAACGGAGCTGAATTGGAATAAACAAACTTTAAAACCCAAAGATTAATTTTTACCTTCAGTCCAGGTAAAAAAATAAAAGGAACACTCAAACAACACAATATAACTCCAAGTAAATCAAACTTCTGTGAAATCAAACTGTCCATTCAGAACAGTTGAGATGGTCCAACTGTTCTGTTCTGATATTGATTGTCAATCAATATCACCTGCTGTTGTGCAAATGGAACAGACAACAGGTGGAAATTATTTTCATATTTATTTCATTCATTCAGATCTAGGATGTTATTTGAGTGTTCCCTTTATTTTTCTGAGCAGTTTATAATCTGTTAACATGAAATAAAACTTATTTTTATGATTCACACTTAAAGGAACTTTGTTCAAACTTTTAGATAAAAACATTTAGTTTTGTTTTTAGCTTTTATACATTTTCATCAAATAAGACATTAAAGTGTTTAGAAGAGCCTTAATAATGACGCAACAAAATGAAACTTCAGTGGTTTTGTGATTGATTCTTTGTGAAGATTTCCTTCTGGTCATTCTGACGTTTTTAATGATGAATTTATTCCTCTGATGTGTTTTGAGTTATTAATCAGAGGAATAATCTTCATATTCTGAAACTAAAACCACATTTAACAGAAAAATAATGTCACAAGAGAAATGGAAACATTGGTTTATTAAATATTTGATGTGTGTTAGATAATATTCTACTTGTCCGTTTCCGACGGTAATTAAACACATAAAACCAATTATTGAAGACAGTTTATTAGAGCGAGGCGGTTTCCTGGACGCCGCTGCTTACTGACCAGTGAGGCTGCGGCCCGTGGCGGGGTGTCTGCAGGGCATCCGCAGGGGGTCTCCGTCTTCCTCCCTCCTCCTCTGAGACGACTCGCCCTCCTCCCGTCTGCTGCGTTCTGGTGCTTTCTCTGGGCGGGCAGCAGCTGAGCCTTCACCTTCTCAGACAAACCGTCTGCGTCTCTGAACACGCTGAGGCACAGAGAGGCTGCGTCACCAACCAGCTGCTTATTGTTGGCAGAATGTCTTGTTTTTATATGTAGAAATGATTCAAACCACTAAGGAGGTTTTCTGTTCTCAGGCGAGACAAACGAAGCTGGTAACAACCAACCTGTCAAACGTGGTCAGCTGATCGGCGTTGACGTATTCGCTGACGTTCACCATCAGGTCTGAAACCTGCTTGGTGCCGGAGTTCTGCAAAACGACAGCAGCTTTTAGTCAGACGTCCTGCTCGCCAACGCCAGTGTTTCAACCCAAAGAGACGACACTGTGCAGTGATGAGTCGCTGCACGGTGGCACAGTTGGTAGCACTGAAGGTCCTGGTTCGATTCCCAGCCCACAGTCCAAAAATAGGACTGTTAATTGGCCTGTATAAATTCTTTTTAGGTGTGTGTTGTTTGTCCTGTCTGTCTCTGTGTTGCCCTGCGACAGACTGGCGACCTGAGAGTGACCCTGCTTCTCAAAAGGCCCTCCTGACCCCACCAGGGACAAGGGTGCAAGAAAATGGATGGAACACCTGATGACATCATCAGCTCTGCTAATCCGCCTCATCTGCTACTGCTGCTCCTTCAGTCTCTGCCTGGCCGGCCGGAGCCTGGAGCCAATGCTCCATGGAGCCTCCTATTCAATTCCTTTGGGATTTGGGGGTCAAAGTTCAAGCCTTATGCTCAAACTTTTGACCAAAGTCAGGGTTTAAAAGGCGACCAAATACAAAGGGAACTTGCTATTATAAATAATTACAGTGGCAATATAAATAATTTGTTTTTATTTGCATTTGAGCTAAAAGTGAAGGTTTGACCTGATTTAAACACTGAAGAAGAAAACAGCATCAACCCTGCGTCAGCTATTTGATTTGAACTGCAGACAGAAGCCTGTCCTGTCCTCCTGTCCTCAAGTCTGGCCCTCCCATCCCATCCTGTCCTCCTGTCCTGTCATTTATTACCATTAGGTCCTGTCCTCTGTCCTACCATTAGGTTGAAGATGAGCGTGGAGTCCACAGCGATGGCCTTCAGGACCATCTCAGTGTCCGCGCCGCTGGTTTTGTAACGCAGGCTGTACAGCTCCTTGTTGCTGCTCCAGTCAGCAGGAAGCAGCTCTGACTTTTTATCCCGACTGCTGGGCTAAAATACAACAGAGAGAAAGAAAAATAAGAGACTGAGTTAAAGTAGTGACCATGGTAGAGTCCATCCTCACGCAGCGCCTCCCAAAGATGACCAGACAAAGTTTCCCTGGATAAAACGGACTGATTTATGCTAAGCTAACGCGCCTAGCATTTTGTGCTGAAATGATTAACAACGTCTGGATGTCAATGCGCATTCGGACTTTAGCTAAACTTCTACATAACTCCATTAAAATAACAAACTGTTTCATATCGCCCCATCTTAAATTCAGCATAAAGCCTTTCTGCTACTCCCATTCGACAACAACAACGAGCCAATTTATTTCTTTATTAATGCGGTTAATAAGTGGAGACCTGTCGCCATGTTCAACCGCCCAGACTGATCGAACCTCTGCTGATCAACGGCGAATCAGATTCAAACCATTTCCGGTTCCTCACCTCGTCTCCAGACCCGATGCACCGGTAGCCATTCTTTATCATCTCCCAGTGAACGAAGCACACGACGGCGTCCTGCGGACACTCGATTTGACCTGCGACACAAGTGAACAGCGCCTCCAAGCCGGCCATCTTCCCCCATCTGTCGGTTCCAGCTCCGCGTCCACACCGGAAAGGAAAACGAAAGTCTTCACTGAGGTCTCATAGCAACCACAGCTACTTCCTGACAGGAAAATTCAAAATAAAAGCACAAGAACCTTGTCAAATCGAGTTAGTCACATTAGAAACTAATTTCAGTGTATTAGAAACTAATACACTAAAATTATTTTGGAAGGTGTAAGTTTGGGATGACAAAGAGGCTGTTTTATGTGCAACAAAAATATTAAATTGTATATATAACTTTATATAGTTATAATAATAATAACACATCTATCTATCTATCTATCTATCTATCTATCTATCTATCTATCTATCTATCTATCTATCTATCTATCTATCTATCTATCTATCTATCTATCTATCTATCTATCTATCTATCTATCTATCTATCTATCTATCTATCTATCTATCTATCTATCTATCTATCTATCTATCTATCTATCTATCTATCTATCTATCTATCTATCTATCTATCTACAATATACAGCAGTGAAAGTTTTACCATATATTCAATTAGTTTTCAATCGCACTTACTTTTATTTTCTGCAGAGAGAACTCTCTGGAACCTCTGCTGTATTTTTTCTAACTTTACGGAAAAGTTGGTTTTGTTTTGATGCAACACATACAGTTTCCGGAACAGAACTAATAGAAGAATATCGTTCCGTTTTAAAGTGTTATTTTATATTTGGTCTTTTTTGTATGGTTACAGTAAAACAAAACATTTTTATTAAAAGGATAAATAATTATATTAATGTTTGTTTAAGAACAAATCCATTTCTGAAATAAATAGAAAAATAAAATGCTAATTTAAATGTAATACCGTAAACTTTACTGAAATGTTTTTTAATGATAGTTTAATTTTTAAACAGGTCTGTTTGCTCCCACATAGGACTTCATTTCCCATCATCCCCCTCGCAGGTCGAGCGCACAGCGCTTCCTGGAGAAGATGGCGGCTTCCTTGTCTCTGCTTGTGATTGTCGCCGTCACAATCCGCGCGGCTCTGTTCAGATCCGGCCTCGCGGAGCTGATCGCGGAGCGGGTGGAGGTGGTGTCCCCGATCACCGCCTGGAAGCGAGGTAAGACGGCCCGGTCGGAGCTCCGCGGCCTGTTTCCAGGCCCCGCCGCCTTCCGGTCCGACGACAACCGGTGAAGTCAAACCGTTCCTGTGCTGGAGCGTCCACATCGATCCGGGTTCAGTCCAGATTCACACGGAGCGAGCTGTGAGCAGGGGCTGCTTTAAAGACAAAACGATCATTCATGTGTTTGTTTTTGTTTCAACAAATATCTGAGTTTCTGTGTGTCATCGGTTCAACAACCAGCAGAACCAGAAGAACCGAACCGAACCGAACCTGGAAACTGCTTCCATTTGCATCAACTCTTCACTTTTATTCCGTCAGTTCAAAAGTGCTCTATGGAGCCAAAGGGAAATGAAATGTGTTGCTGTATCTCATTGTATGAGTGACATCCAGTTGCATTAGATGCTTCAGAAGCCAAACTTTTTCAGAAATCTCCAGAAACTCAGAGAAAAACTGCTTAAAATGCAGCTGCTCTGATATCTGAGATGGAAATGTGTTTCATCCAATGAGAACTGGGATCTGCTCAGTTTCTAGTTAATTATAACTTATTTTCTAAAGTTTCTCCTCTGAAATGTTTTAGTTGTCAGATTTTAAAAGTACTTTAAGCAGGAGAAAATGGGATTTTCTTTCAGCTGTCTGTCTGTCTGGTGACTAAAATGTGTTCATAGTTTGATGTGATCATTTTTAATTAAAAATACAGAAATATTTGGTTTCTGTCTGCGTCCAGTTCATCCCAGAGTTTTAGATGTATTGTATTTTATTGAATCATATTCGATCAGCGGTGACGGAGCCACGTTGTGTCTGTTTCTGGTCAGTGATCGAAGGTTTGGCGCTGCTCGATCTGGGAGTTTCTCCGTATTCCGGCGACGTTTTCCACGAGGTAAGACATCAAATCTGGCTCTTGATGTACATGTTGGGAAAAACCATTTTAAAGTACATGTAGATTTGGATATTGTTGTGATTTTTCTATTGTCTTTGCCTCAGTTTTCAAACTTAAAGAGTTTTTGAGATTTCCTTTCAGAGAAAAACAGTTTCCTTGTTTTATATTCCAGCTGAGATTAATTTTATTATTAGACATTTATTCCATCTGACATCCCATGCTTGATCTTTTTCTTTCCTGCAGACTCCTCTCATCATTTACCTCTTTCACTTTCTGGTGGATTATGCAGAAATCACATTCATGGTAGGAGGAATACATGAGTGCAGAGAGGAGAAAGTCCAGTTTTAGTTCTCTTATTGTTTTCTATGTGTTTTCCTGTTAGCTGGCGGACGTGATCACAGCCGTGGCTCTTTACATGGCCGTGAAGGACTTTAACAAACAAGTGGTGAGAATCAATCTGTAAAGAAAAATACATGATGTGAATTTTTAATTTAAAATGTATTATTTATGAAGCTCCATATGTGTCTGTAGAATCTTGTTTTAGTTTGATGTTATGACTGTCAAAGAGAAGTATGTTAAAAACCTCATTCGGTATATCTAATATGTTAAAGGTGAGCTTTCCGTTGATAAAACATTTTGTTTTTGTCCCTTTCAGTTCAGGAAGCAGAAGTTTTCGGTGGAGGCGGAGCGATACCCTGCAGACTGCCTGGAGCTCATCAGGAGCCCCACTGAGATGTTCTACATCCCCCTGAAAGTGGCCATGTTGTAAGTACCTACAGCACCTGTAGAGGGCGCTCTCAGCTAAAGACTCTGCAGCAAAAATGTTCATCAAAATTCACCTGAAATAACGCTCTTTATTATTTAACTCAATGTTTGTTCATGATTGAAATGTTTTAGTGTTTGAACTGAAACCGACTGATAGTTGAAGCAGTTTTAGTTATTTTCTTCTTGTTCTCTGGCAGTTACCTGCTGAACCCGTTCACCATCTTGTCCTGCGTTGCCAAGTCGACTTGCGGCCTGAACAACGCCGTCATCTCCTTGTTCGTCCTCACAACCATAAAAGGTCGACCACCCAGCCAGGCTCTGGGTGCTGCTGAAAGAAATGCTTTGCATGATTTACTTCATGCACAAACCCTTTCATGTATTTATTCAGATTTATTGCTGCAGTTAGCATTAGCATAAATTATTTTTGTCATAGCATAAATTATTCTTCCATGAGTTAACTGGGCAGTTTTATTGTTTCATTTTCTCTCATTATAGTTTGAACTTTGTGGTTAATCTTCATATTTTCTGATTTTATTATTTTCTCATTATTTATTATTTTTTCAGGAAACGTTTTGCTGAGCGCCATTTTTCTCTGCTTGGCCACCTACCAGTCCATCTATCCTCTGACGCTGTGCGCCCCCGCCATGCTGTATCTGATGCAGGTACGCTGCTTTGATTAGTTTCTGATGCATACTTCCTGTTTCTGTTTCTGACGTACTCCTGTTTCTGAAGCGTACTTCCTGTTTCTGAAGCGTACTTCCTGTTTCTGAAGCGTACTTCCTGTTTCTGAAGCGTACTTCCTGTTTCTGAAGCGTACTTCCTGTTTCTGAAGCGTAATTCCTGTTTCTGAAGCGTACTTCCTGTTTCTGAAGCGTACCTGTTTCTGAAGCGTACGTCCTGTTTCTGAAGCGTACGTCCTGTTTCTGAAGCGTACTCCTGTTTCTGAAGCGTACTTCCTGTTTCTGAAGCACTTCCTGTTTCTGAAGCGTACTTCTGTTTCTGCATACTTCCTGTTTCTGAAGCGTACTTCCTGTTTCTGAAGCGTACGTCCTGTTTCTGAAGCGTACTTCCTGTTTCTGAAGCGTACTTCCTGTTTCTGAAGCGTACTTCCTGTTTCTGAAGCGTACTTCTTGTTATCGCTGACATGTTTTGCCCTCTCCGCCGGCCTCCGCAGCACCAGTACGTCCCGGTGAACCCGCGGCGCGTCGCCTTCTGGTGGTTCGTGGTTCAGTACCTGTTCATGTACCTGGGCAGTTTGTTCGTCATCGTCTGCCTGTCCTTCTTCCTTCTCGGCTCCTGGGACTTCCTGCCCTCCGTCTACGGCTTCATGTGAGTCAGAAAAACAAACCAGAGATTTCTGGACCATCAGAACCGATCTAATGAACAAGTTCTAAGGAGAACTGCATTTCCCTGACTGCTGAATGTCAGGCGTAAAGTTTGGTGGAGGGAAAAATTCTGCTGTTTTTTTTAGCTTGATCTCGCACTTCCTGTGGTGGGAGTTACAGTGCAGCGCCCTCTGATGGCTGAATTTGGCATGACATTCATCCCAACCCTTCCTGGCTGTGGATAGAAACACAGTTTTCTGTTTGTCCACCAGAGGGCGCTGTCGGTCATGTTGTTCCTGTGTTTTTTTTCAGCCTCTCAGTTCCTGACCTGACGCCCAACATCGGCCTCTTCTGGTATTTCTTCGCTGAGATGTTTGAGCATTTCCGCCTCTTCTTCCTCTGCGTCTTCCAGATCAACGTCTTCTTCTACACCGTCCCTCTGTGCATCAAACTGAAGTCAGTCCTCCCGTCTCATTAACCTCTGACCTTTCCCTGCGCCCTCTAACCCCTGTGTGCGTCGGCCTGCAGGGACCAGCCGTGTTCCTGATGTTCATGCAGCTGGCGGTGATCTCCATCTTTAAGTCTTACCCCACGGTGGGCGACACGGCGCTCTACCTGGCCTTCCTTCCCGTCTGGAGCCACCTGCACAGATGTGAGTGTTTACTGCACACCTGGGTCATGGCAGGGTCATGGTGGGGTCATGGTGGGGTCATGGCGGGGTCATGGTGGGGTCATGGTGGGGTCATGGTGGGGTCATGGTCGGGTCATGGTGGGGTCATGGCGGGGTCATGGTGGGGTCATGGTCGGGTCATGGCGGGGTCATGGCGGGGTCATGGTGGGGTCATGGTCGGGTCATGGCGGGGTCATGGTGGGGTCATGGTGGGGTCATGGTCGGGTCATGGCGGGTCATGGTGGGGTCATGGTGGGCTCATGGCGGGGTCATGGTGGGCTCATGGCGGGGTCATGGTGGGGTCATGGCGGGGTCATGGCGGGGTCATGGTGGGGTCATGACGGGGTCATGGCGGGGTCATGGTGGGCTCATGGCGGGGTCATGGTGGGGTCATGGCGGGGTCATGGCGGGGTCATGGCGGGGTCATGGCGGGGTCATGGTGGGGTCATGGCGGGGTCATGGTGGGGTCATGGCGGGGTCATGGCAGGGTCATGGTGGGGTCATGGTGGGGTCATGGCGGGGTCATGGTGGGGTCATGGCGGGGTCATGGTGGGGTCATGGCGGGGTCATGGTGGGGTCATGGCGGGGTCATGGTCGGGTCATGGCGGGGTCATGGTGGGGTCATGGTGGGCTCATGGCGGGGTCATGGTGGGCTCATGGCGGGGTCATGGTGGGGTCATGGCGGGGTCATGGCGGGGTCATGGTGGGGTCATGGCGGGGTCATGGCAGGTCATGGGGGGTCATGGCGGGGTCATGGTGGGGTCATGGCGGGGTCATGGTGGGCTCATGGCGGGGTCATGGTGGGGTCAAGGGGGGTCAGCAGGTCAGCGATAAGAAAGTTCAAATCTGCTATAATTTAAGATGCAGCACAAACTTTTGCTTTTGATTAAAGTAACCAACAAACATCCAGTGGATTTAAAGGAAGTCATTTTTTTTGAAGTCATATTTGATATAAATAACAACTGAAGGCAACATGGCGCCCATGGAAACGGCACCGTCCCTTTAAATGGCGTTCAGATGTGCCTCACATACTGAACATTTTCAATTTTCTTCCATAATTTTGTGAATAATAAAGGGCAAAAAAGATTATTATTTTGCGATTTTAAAAACTCCAGGCTAATTGTCCGGGTGTGCAGCGAGAACATCTGGGCTCACAGTTGAGCGTTTACCGCCACAGTGGGCGGGGCTTATCTCCACGGTCATTTCACAGTCCAGAAATGACAAAACACTCAAGTTTAAAAGCAAAATTAAACTAAAAGAAGGAAATAGAAGCGATGAATCGGATTAATCAAATAATCAACTAATTTAATCCCAGATTAAATGGAGAGTCGACTAAATCAACACACTGGAGCAGAAATGGAGCCAAAACTATATTCAGTAATTAAGATCAAAACATTTTAGCTAAAAGTTTTATGTTCAGATTCTACAGTGAAAACTTTAATTATTAGTTTACTGTTAATATATTTATAATGTTGCATAAAAAGTCTGAAGTGGATCAATGAAGAATCTGTAGAATGGATCAATTGCTTTTATTTGATTAATCAGAATAATTAATCACTAAAATCAATAACATTCGTGGAGATTCCTTCCATGTATATAACTCACCGCTGGTTTATTGGTGATTTATTGATTTGTTGGTTGTTTAATAATTTATTGGTGGTTTATTGATTTATTGGTGATACTGCCTTCCTGTCCAGTCCTCAGGAACATCTTCCTGGTTTCCTGCGTCCTACTCGCCTGCTCCGCTCTCTTCCCGGTTCTCTGGCATCTCTGGATCTACGCTGGAAGCGCCAACTCCAACTTCTACTACGCCATCACGCTGCTCTTCAACGTGGCGCAGGTAGAGCAGCAGGGCGGGGCTGAAAACACGTTGCATCGCTGCATCCGATGCTCAGTCCCACGTCTGGAAACCTGCTACTTATATGACAGTAAAAAGAATCAAACTTTCTGTGAGTTCCTGCTGAAAATGTTTTTGCTTCCGGTCCAGATCCTGCTGGTGTCGGATTATTTCTACGCCTTCCTGAGGAGGGAGCACCACCTGACGGCCGGACTCTACCTGAAGAAGAAGGATGGCTCCGAGGCGACGCTGGTGCTAAAATGAAACGCGCCCTGATCAAACCTGATCAAACCTGATCAAACTTGATCAAACCTCTTCAGACTGGAATGAGGAGGAATAAAAACGCTGATGCTGCAGAACTCGAAGCGACTCGCCGCCGTTTCCGATGAATGAACTTTGAACTGTTGAGGAGGGAAAGTTTCGTCTGAGAATATTTTGTTCAGAACTTTTTCTGTTGAAACGTAAATGTAAGAAACGTGTGAATGTCCAGAGAAACGCCTCAGCTTCACGTGGTTTTTCCGCTCGACTTGGTGGCTTTTCATTTCTCGGTGTTGTGAGCAGATTATAAAGCTCCGAAAGTTTCAGTTATTCGTTGGATCTTTTCTGGGATGAAAACAACAAAACTTGATTTTGTTATTTTGCAGATTATGGATCAAGATAAAATTGTCCAAGCTGCAAAAACACAACATTTATTTGTGTTTTTTTTTCTCATTTCTTATAAAAAAAAATCTTATAACACTTGGAATAATATGAAGCGAAATGAATGTGACTTTTCAGCTAAATGGTGATCCATATTTTAATTCAATAATTATTTGATTAAAGTCCTGTTTCCACTGGCAGATTATTAAACTTATTTACATGGAAAAACGTCTTACTAGTGAAATAATCTGCAGGTGAAATGATTATTATTGATTTAAAACAAGGTTTTTATCTGTTGCTCAGAAGTTTGTGGTGTTTTTTATTTCAGGTTTTCTGAGGTTTGGTTTCACATTAAGGGCTCAAATGTTGAATGTTTGCTGCTTTAATTTGACATTTAAAAAATGTTTAAATTTCAAAACATTTAAACTTTATTTTTCTTCTAAATTCTGAACATTTTGATCAGGAACTTTATGCTGTGAAGTTTCTTCTGTTTTTTATTAATGGCTGAAATTCTCCATAAAGTTTTTATGAACTTATAACCATTTAAACATTTAACCTTTTATATGCATAACAAGCCCAATTATTGTTTTCTCTTTCATAATTACACTAATATGAAATGCTAATCTGTAAATTCCCAGATTAGCATTTAAACTTAGCTTAGCTTAGCTTAACTTAGCATGAAGACCAGAGTTTGGATGATATGTTGGTTGAAATTAAAATTTTGCTCCATGCAGGTAAAAGTTTTCAGGTCCAAACGAATCTGAACATTTTGCCTTAAATTCTGAAAAAAGCAAAACTGTTTTCCACCTAAAATCTTTGTTTTCTCTCAAACGGCTGATTCTGTTTCACAGTTTAGTTTGTCATGTTTACTAACTGGAAATGATTTATTATTATTATTATTATTGTTCTCAGTTTGAATCATTTTCACCAATCAGTGTTTTGTTGAAAAATGAAAAATTTGCTTTAATTTTACTGAAAAATTTTCTTCACATCTTCATGTTGATGGAAAAATGCAACAGTTTGGTTTTTATATTTTCATCTGAATCTGATTTTATTTAAATGTTTTGTTTTTCTGGACAGAAAATCATTCTGAGGTTTTTGAAAGGAACAAAACGTATTTTTATTTGCTGCACTGAAACTTTGCAACAAGCTGATTTTATTACTTATATTTATTGTAATATTTCGTTTTGTGAAACATGTTCAATCGGTTTGTGGTGTAACTAAAGCCTGAGGTTTTGCTTTTACTGGTTTTTCTGCTGTGAGTCAAAAAAGCAACATTTTTCAGTTTCACCATAAACATTTATTTAATTGTTAATTAATGCAATAATTGAACTGACGATGGATCATTCAGGTCTGTTTCCAGTTTCTGCATCCAGAAAACGATTCTGATGATTTCAACATCAAAAATATTTAGGTTTCAGAATCAAATATTGATCCTGAACTGAGCTTTAAAATAATTCTGATAAATTTCAGATGTTTAATCTGTGAGATTTCTTGCTGAAACCTCTCAACGTCACACACCAGCTCCTCCCAAAAGATGATAACCAGTTAATCTGTAATGACTAGTTAATCTGTGATAACCAGTTAATCTGTGATAACCAGTTAATCTGTGATAACCAGGTAATCGGGACACAGACAGGTGAGTCGGCTGTTTTCTCATTCCTGTTAACTCTATAAATGCTTCATCTCGTCTGCAGCTCATCACTGCAAGACCTTCACATTTTGATCTCAGAAGATTTTTACAGAATTTGACTTTTTTTCTCAGGCAGAACACATTCATGGAGCCAGCAGTCTGCAGAGTGGTGGTCTGCAGAGTGTCGGTCTGCAGAGTGGTGGTCTGCAGAGTGTCGGTCTGCAGAGTGTTGGTCTGCAGAGTGGCGGTCTGCAGAGTGTCTGTCTGCAGAGTGGTGGTCTGCAGAGTGTCGGTCTGCAGAGTGTCGGTCTGCAGAGTGTCTGTCTGCAGAGTGTCTGTCTGCAGAGTGGTGGTCTGCAGAGTGTCGGTCTGCAGAGTGTTGGTCTGCACAGTGTCTGTCTGCAGAGTGGCGGTCTGCAGAATGGTCCTGGTGGTCTGCCGCGCCTGCATGGAGGCCTGGAGAAGACGGAGGTTCAGTCTGTGTTTGTTGGGTCTGGACCACCAGGTTGTCGTCTGCTGGAACTCTAAAGCTCACAGCAGCCGCGTCTTTCGACCCGCCGGTGAACGGTTGCCTGGCGCTCCTCGAGGAAATGCTTCTGTTTGGACGCAGATCCAACGGCAGAAGACATTCAGAAACAGAGAAGCAGAATAAAAGAGTCGGGCTTTTTCCAGGCCGAGGACGGGAACAGATCCATCAGGAATCATCAGAACCACGGAGGACGAGCTCAGAGCATAAAGCTGCAGCGCCCCCTGCTGACCACACCGGCCCAGCAGTTCCAAACATCTGGACCGAGATGAAGACAACTGTAGCTCCTCCTGTCTGAGGATCTCACCTCCACAACCTCTGTGACCTCCATGACCTCCGTGACCTCCATAACCTCTGTGACCTCCATGACCTCCGTGACCTCCATAACCTCTGTGACCTCCATGACCTCTGTGACCTCCATGACCTCTGTGACCTCCATGACCTCTGTGACCTCCATGACCTCCGTGACCTCCATAACCTCTGTGACCTCTGTGACCTCCATGACCTCTGTGACCTCCATGACCTCTGTGACCTCCATGACCTCTGTGACCTCTGGGTCAGGGCAGAAACTCCCTGAAGACCCAGAGAGGTTTGCCCAGAACTCCTGGAGACTTTGATTCAGGGATTCACAGCTGAGATGTGGAGGTCAGAGGTCACAGATCCTGGGAGTTGGTGTGATGAAGGAGCAGGTTCAGAGAGAAGGCCAGATGCATGCTGGGTAGAGGAAAAACCAGATGCATGCTGGGTAGAGGAAAACCAGATGCATGCTGGGTAGAGGAAAAACCAGATGCATGCTGGGTAGAGGAAAAACCAGATGCATGCTGGGTAGAGGAAAAACCAGATGCATGCTGGGTAGAGGAAAAACCAGATGCATGCTGGGTAGAGGAAAAACCAGCTGACCGTTCAGAACGACCAGCTGGTTCTCACCTTCAGACTCTCACCCCAGGCATCTTTGTTTTCAACTCGTTTTTTGGAAACTCATCGTCTGAATCTTCTTGTTTTTCTCGCTCTGACCTCTTGACCTGCATTTGGTTCTGCAGCTGACGCCGTCAGGCACAGGTTAGGCCTCAATTATTGTTTTGTAGTTTGATAAGTTTTGATCAAATTACATTTCCTTTGTGCATTGTCTCTATAAAATACAGAAATAAATAAAGTATATTAAATAGGACATTCATTACAAGATTAATGTTCCCATTAATCTTCCATCATCTTAGAAATGGTTCAAACTAATAACTATCAAGAATATCAGACAAGATAAAGGATTGAAGCTGCATAAATGATACTCATGTCTCCACAAACATTGTAAACATTCAACATCTGATAAAGAATCAGCCAAATGCAACTGAACTGAATCATTAGTCATTTTAAAGAATAAAAAAAACATGTTTAGTTTCATCTTCAAACCACCTGAAGCTCAAATGTTTTTCCTTCACAGATTATCTGCTTTGCAGAACCCCAGATTATCGAGCCTCTGATTGGCTGCTGCTCATTATGACCAGCAGGTGGCTCAGCCAATGAGAGTCCAGATCAGCCTCAGTTTTTCCCACATGGCTGAAAATATTTACTGTTTATTCAACAAATATGTTTCTATGCAAATTGAGACATTTTTTGTGCAAACTTGTTTTGCAAATAAACGTTTAATTACAAAAAATCAAAAAATAACCTAGTTAAATCGAAGTCAAGTTAAACAGTTTTATTTAATTTTATGGAGATTATTTAAATCCAAAATTATACATTTTATTCATATTGTCAAAATGTTTCCTACATATATTTAAAACAATGTAGTTTAATTACAGCGTTACTCATTTAAACTTTAGTAGAAAACATTTAGTTTGTTGTAATTCAGATTTTATAAACTTGTGGCTGAAGGCAATAAAGTTTAATATATCAAAAAATTACATCTTCATGTTCAAAAATGTTTCAAATATGGTTGAAAAATTTATATAAAACAACAATAAGGTTTATTCACTCTATCCTGCTGTCATTTTTTAGTGCCATAATTTGTCTACTTCTGAATAAAGTTAGGAACAATTCATTAATATTCAGTATTTTGAGTTTTAAAGCAGTGATGGAGGAAACAGTTTTCATTTGGATAAATGATCAAACTCTTGACTTTTATGAGTTTTGTGAATTTTCCTCTGAGTTCTTTGAAATGAAGGACAGAATTTGGACAAAATGTAAGTTTACAAAATACTTTAATGACTCATTAAAATGAAACATTGTGCTTTGGTGGCGCAGCGATTGAGCACAACTCACATATGAAGGCCTCAGTCGCAGGTTCGATTCCCGGTCTGGTGACCTTACCCTCTTTCCTGTCGATTAACTAATAAAGGTCAATAAAACATTTTTAAAAAATCATAATAAACAGTAGAAAACTAAAATGTGTCTTTTTCCCTAAATAAACATGAAGAAAAAAATCTAAAGTCATTTTTGAGGTAGAGTTGAGAAATTAAAGTAACATTTAAAAAAAAGAAAACAGGAATTAAAGTGTTAACTAAGCTTTAGTTGATAAAGTTAACTAAATCCTGATACCGACTTTTAGATGGATTCATAAAAATCAAGATCTGATCAGAGCCACACAGGAAGTAAAGAAGTTTCACTTCCTGTCACATTTAGTTTGTAGCATCTGGATCTGAAGCAGAAAGCAACGCGATGATGCAAACAGTTTCAATCTGATCAATAAGGATCAATCTGATCAGAGCTGCTGTTTGATCACTGACATCTCCATCGGGAGGATCCTGGTTGTTTTCACCGTTCTGAAGTAAGGGAACATCCGGTCAGTGAAGGTGTGTGTGACGGTGTATGTGTGTGTTCGTGTCCAGATCAGAGAAGGACAGATTCCCTCCATCCCAGTCCAGATCCACTCGGATCCTCTGGATCTTCCTCTGGACGCAGAGATCAGCGGAAGGAGCCGACGGGCAGACAGCTGAGTAAATCCCTTCATAGAACCAGATGACCGATAACCCAGACTTTATGTCCCGCTTCCTGTGGACGGATTCGGCCAACACGCCCAGCACCCACACTCTGTTGTCTCCAACAACATCCCAGCTGTGGATCCCGGAGTTAAAGCCCTCGGCCGAGAACGGACCACTCTGCCCCAAACCGCTCCGGATTATCAGGAAGCTGCTGCTGCTCTCCAAACGTCCAACTGGTCAGATCGTCAGACAGATGGAGTCCTGAACCAGCCGTGTTTGGGTCCAGAACCAGAGAGTGTAGGTCACCATGTCCTTCATGTTGCTCCAGATGTTGAAGGCCAGGTTGCCCAGATGTTTGGCCTGGTCTATCAGAGCTCCTGAGGGCAGCTGTGGATCCTCCAGCAGGGGGCAGCGCTGGACTCTTTCCACTGCAGCCTTGTAGTTGTGCAGGAATGAGACGTCTTCAGCTCTCAGCTCCTCCTCTGTGGCTCTGACTGTGTCTGAAAGAGCTGCTATCTCTCTGCTCAGAGCCTCCATCTTCTCCTCCATCATCCCTCTCTTCTGCTCCTCTTCCTCCCTCAGTGCAGCCAGCCTGGCCTCCTCTTCTCTGCTAGAAACTGATGAAGCTTCTTAACTGCTCAACAATCTGCCTCTCTGTGTGTCGGGCCTGGACCTTCATGTGTTCTGCTGTCTGATCAAACTCCTCTTTAACTTCCTTCTTCTGCTCCAGTTTCTTCTTTAAAGGCTCCAGAGATGTTTTCAGATTCTCTCTGTGATCCTGAGCAGCTTCATCGATGGCTCTGAATCTGTGCTTGATGTGTTTTTCTGAATCTCTGCAGACGAGACAAACTGGCTGCTGATGGGTCCAGACAGAAGAGTTTGAGTTTCTCAGAGTGCAGACTGCAGAGACTCTCTGAAGCTTTTTGCTCTCTCTGCTCTAAGAATGATTCACAGAGGTTCTTCAGGGCCAGGTTACATAGAGGAGCGTCTGTTATGGATCTTTTCCTACAAACCGGACATGAGCGTCCAGCTCTGACTGTCCAGCAGGTCTGCAGACAGTCCTTACAGAAGCTGTGGCTGCAGGGCAGGATGACTGGACGCTTATAGACGTCACAGCAGACCGGACAGCAGAGATCCTCCTCCAACCTGGATGCCATTTCTTCTCCGACT